AGGTCACCACTTGCCATGTCCCTTGAGCAGCACAGCGTGACAAGTGGGAACCACCGTCCACCAAAGGGGGAGTCAGGCTGAAGGAAGGCAGTGCAGAGGCCTGGGGGAAGCTGGGCTGCCGTGGGGACAGGGGTGTCACCTTGAGAGCAGAGGGGCAGGGCCTGACTCCATGCCCTCTGGCTGCTGCATGATTGGACAGGATGTGTGGTCAGTAAAACTGGAAAACTAAATTGTTAGCTATGTATTTTAAACGTAACGTTTTCTTCAGCTCCCATTGCGTGTTTGGGTGTGAAACCTCTAAGGGTGAAGCAGTAGGTGCTGTGATTATCCAGATGGGCGGGGGTGGGGGCTGAGGGAGGATCCCAGTGCTGCGTTCCTGGGTCTCCATGCCATCTGTGACACAGGGTTTGTAGCAGCCTTGCTCAGAGCCAGTGTGTGCAGGGTCTCAGTGAGCAGGGCCCCCAGCAAGCCCTCTCCCTCCTGGACTGACCTGTGGTCCTACCCCCCAGGCCAAGCGTGCCGGAGTGACGTGCATCATCCTGCCTGCCGAGAACAAGAAGGACTTCTACGACCTGGCTGCCTTCATCACCGAGGGCCTGGAGGTCCACTTCGTGGAGCACTACCGCGAGATCTTTGACATCGCCTTTCCTGAGGAGCAGGCGCAGGCCCTGGCTGTGGAGCGGTGATGCTGGCCCACAGGCCCGGCCCCGGGCAGCTGAGCCGCCACAAGGCTTAGCATCGAAGAACCTCAATCATGGCTTAATCATGGAGTTTGGCGCATATGAACTGTTTATTATGATTAAATACCATTTCCAGTACTGTCTGTTGCTTCCTTCTGCGTTCTCCCCTAGAGCCCCATGAAGGGCCAGATGGGACTTCCCCCCAGTGCCAGCACAGGAACCCGGTTCTGAAAAGGCTTTATTGCAGGGGGCAGGAGGGTCAGTCCTTCTTGGCTGCCGCCTTCCTCATGGCTGCAAGGACGTTGCTCAGCTCCTCCCGCTTCCTTTTGGCACGGATGTGTGTCCCCACCTGCCAGGCAAGGAGGGCCGTCAGCCTGGGCCCCAGTCCCACCCCTGCCCCACCGGCAACAGACCACCTACCCTTTTCTTGATGAACTTCAGGGCCCGCTTGTCCTTGGAGACCTTGAGCAGCTCCATGGCCCGCCGCTCGTAGGGGGCAAAGCCACATACCTCCCGGATCATGTCCCGCACGAACTTTGTGTGCTTGGTGAGGCGCTAGGGGTGGGGTGAGGGGGGGAGGCCGTCAAGACGAGGCGCTCCCAGGTCAGACCCTTTCAGGTCGCGTGTGGGCCTCCAGCTGCAGCACCTGACTGCAGTGAATGAAGCGCAATCCCCCCCTGCCCCCAGTGTCCCCAACATGTCACATCACGCCTGGCCATACATAGGCTGTTCCCTGGGCCCAGACACAGGCAGCCACCATACAGTCGGGTCAACTTAATGAAATGTGGACAAAAAAGGGGGCTGTGACGAACCAAATTCCTAACTGGAGGGTCATGGTACGTGGGCACACCCCAGGCTGTGGTGAGGGCTCAAACCCGCCCTGTCCACTGTCCTTGTGCGCCTCGTTAACACCTCTGAAATGCCAGAAATAACGCCACCCTCGAGTACAGAATCTTTACCTTGTAATCCAATCCCCACCTTGCTTTATTCCTTAAATTCCCTCCATTTCAAAGGCATAAAAATAACTACAAAACTGTTCATCTCCAGAAACATTTGAGATCTGGGTAATTGTCTGGCTCAAGCAAACTCTTGTAAAAACTCCCTACAGGTTTGGGCGTTTCTTACCTAGACAGGAGCCCATAAACCCAGGCCAGCCTGAAATCCCTCCATGTGACAATCAGCTTTCCCCTCCACGTTCCTGATGTACTAGGCAAACTGCTTTGCTCACACGTCAAACTCGCTTCACCTGCCCGTTTCAAACATCCCACCGGCGGGGGTGTCCAGGTGCGTGGACCACGGAGGGACGTTCCACGCACTGCTGCGGCCGGCCCAACGACTCCTTCTGCTCGGCCCCAGAAGGGCTCCCCACTGCTCTCGGGACTCGACACCCCGACTGAGCTCCACCCCGCTCTCTGTAGCTTGGAGGCCGTGCCCTGGCCGGAAGACACATCCCACCTCCCTCCAAGAAGCCTCGGAGCGCGCGCGCCCCTGCCTTACCCCGCGGCGGCGGCTATGCCTCGGCTTGCTCACGTTCTTGGTCACCTTGTGGCCCTTGTTGAGGCCCACGGCCATTGGGTAGCGCAGAGCCATGGCTGCAAACGAGTGGGAGTGGGATTTGAGTTTTGGCTCGGCCACTGCCGCCCGGAACCCCGTACCCCGGCCCCCTCGGGGTCACTTGCTGCCTCCAGCCAGCCCCCTGAGCCCCACTGGGACCCCGGGGATCCGGATGGCGACGGATCCTACCCACGGTCCAACTAACCTACTGCTCTTCAATAACTGCCGCGGCGGAAGGACCGACCCTGCGCGGAACTCTGGGATATCTACTTCACGCGGGACGCGCGGGCCAGAAAGGCAGAAAGGCCGCGCGCGCCCCCTGGCGGCTGGAGGCTTCCCTACGGTCTCTCAGCAAGAGCGTTTACTCCCGCGGGCCCTAGGGAGGGGTCGGACTCCGGGGCCGTGGCTGTGGCTGCGGTGCCGCCCTCCGCCGGTAGGTGGAAAATTAGAATCTCACTTCTGTTGATTGCCGGCTTATCTCAGACCTCAGCTGCTAGCTGGCTGACCCTGCACCAGGGACTTCACCTCCCAGTACCCGAAATTCCCCATTTACAGAGTGAGGACGATAATAGGACACATTCCAAACCGTTTAGAGAAATTATAATGGTACCTGGCACAAAATAAAACTTTCATAAACAGAGGTATTGGCTTCATTCTGCATAGGCCAAGTTCTGGGCTAAGGGCTGAGGAAGGCGAAGTGGTATAGTGCCACCTGGTGGCATTTGATCTGATTTGATGTAACTTTAGGTGGTGCAGAGATGGGAGTTAAGATGGAAACAACAAAAAATTTTTTCCTGGTTATCTTTCAATCTTATCTCCAGGAGACGGTCTCAATTTGGGTTTAGTGCTCCTAATACCAGCTCTTAGAGGCTTGAGCAGCCAACAATAGCTAGCAATTTATAACGTATTCATTCTACAGTTTTTATCTTTAGTTGCTTTTTCTTTATGCAAGCATCTCTGGTTTCCCATTTTAAAGAAACTCAGTTTTCAATTCATTGACATAAATATCAGCCATGTGAGATGTAGCCCATATTTTGCCTTAAAGAGAGACAGACCGGTGTCAGAACCCCTGCTTCCGCCATTGACTTCCCCTCTAAGCCTGTTTCCTCACCTATAAAATGGGATCATGAGATCATGAATGTCAGGTGCATAGTGCCTGATGCAGGTTATCATTATTGGTGCACAACCATGTACTTCATGTGGCAAATAAAGCCTTTGATCCAAAATCGGTACCCTTCCTTCCACCCCTAACTTCCTGGGTGAATCCACCCCTCCCCCAGCCCGAGTTTCCCCACTTGTGAAATGAGGTTGAGAGTTCTAGTGTATGCATTCCCTTTTCCCTGACTGCTGCCAGCAAATTGGAAAGACCAAAGAACATGAACAACATATGTGCAAGGAAAAAGTATGTTTATTATGAAATGGGAGGCTGCATCCAGCAAGAACACATTCTTTCCCTCGTCCCCCTCCTCAGACCCCACCATTAGGTGGACAGCTTCACAGTTCTCCTAGCTTGGGGCAAGGGCTGGGCGATGCCCCGAGATTGAGTTGAAAGAACAAATAAGGTGTTTCCAGATGAGAACAGAGAAGGTTTCAAGGGGGGCTCAGGGAAGGTGTGAGCTGTTTGGTGTGGCCGGAATCCTGGAGCAAGTCACATCACCTCTCTGAGCCCGTTTTCTCATCTGCAAAATGGAAGCAGATGATGACCAAGAAGCCTGAGGTGAAGCCTTCCCGGGCCCCACGAGGCACTGGGACACAGCTGCCGCTCTCACACGCGTTCTCACTGTTTCCAGGTGCCGGTCGGTTTTCTCGGTTCTCCTTTTCTGTCCCGACGGCCCTGTCCTGGGCCCTGGCCACCCTCTCAGAGGTGTCTCGGTTTGTGTCCTGACTTCAGGACGGCTGGATGGAGGGTCCCCCTCTGAGAAGATGAAGGGGCTTCACACCCAGGGGCTCAGGCCGCAGTCACGTTGAGCTCCTGGCGGATGAACCAGGCCCTCGGGCGTGGCAGCCAGGCCGGGAGCAGGCAGAGCAGGTGGAAGCGCCAGGGGTAGAAGACGCTGGGGGCACGCGTGGCACCGCCGCGGATCACAGCGAGGGCTGCCTTGGGCCCCAGGGCCGCCTTGGCCCTCGTGACACCCCTGGAAATGGGAGGGCGTGGTGGGGACTGCAGCTGGCGACACCCCCCCCCAGTCCCCGGGTCGCACCCCTGGTCTTACCTGACTCCCTCTGCGGCTGAGGCCCGATCCCAGAGGCCCAGGACGCACATGGTGATGGCCACGTTCACGTCCTGCACGTCCAGCTCCCGCCGCAGGGAGCCGAAGAAGCTGTCCAATGCGAACTTGGCCGCCGAATAGGGGCTGGAGAAGGACCTGGGCACGCGGCCTAGGGGCGCGGGAGGGTGGAGGCTGAGCGGCTACACTCGCTCCCTCTCCTCCAGGAAGCCTTCCTGCCCCATCCAGGCTCGCCTGCATCGAGGCCTATGGCCTCCCCATTCCCGCCCCGTGTACACGCACCGAGCAGCGATGACACCACCACCAGGGAGCCCTTGCTTTCCGTCAGACTGGGCAGAGCCAGCGAAGTTAGTTGCACATAACTGAGGAAGTTCACCTGTAGGTGGCAAGGGTTCGTTACCAGGCAACGAGGAGCCGAAGCGCAAATGGTGGGTCAGGGGGCAGAACCTGTAAACCTGGGAGCGGGGCTAGTTAAGGATGGGTGGGCCTAAGTGCCAGGACAGAGTCCAGGTTGGAGGAGGCGGAGCTCAAGCCCAGGGGCGGAGCCAATGCCTAGAGAGGGTGGATCCTAGGGGCAGAGGGGGTGGGGCCCAAAAAGGAATGAGGAGAGGTGGAGTCTGGGAGGATTAGGCTGGAGGGCCGACCCCTGGGTGGACCCAAAGGAAAGTGTGACCTGTTTGGTGTGGCCGGAATGAAAGGAAGTGGAACCTATCGCCCGTGAAAGTGGGATCTGGGGATGTGGGGGATAAAGCACCGGCCCGGGAGGGCGAAGCCAGAGCCGAGAGGGGGCGGGGCCGGGGGGGCGGAGCACCTGCATGAGCCAGCGTGCTGCCTGGGCGCTGCGGGTCCCCGTGCCTGCTGGGGCGACACCGAGGTGATTCAGCACGAGGTAGTCCAGCCCACCTGGCCCAAAGAAACCTGTCAGCCAGAACTTAGACCTTGGGACTCCGCCCCCTGGGCTAGATAAGATTACCTCCTCCCTAGCCCCGCCCTTAGAACCAGCAAAGCTACGCCCAGAGCATTGACCCAACGAGCTCTGCCCTAAATTGGCTCCTCCCAAGACCAGAGACCCCGCCCTACTCCTTGCATCCAGCCAAGCTTCGTCCAGCGTTGGTCCAGGGTTCCGCCCCCTTGATGCGGTGAGGCTCCACCCCTAGCCACATCCCAGGACCTTATAAACCTCCGCCCACAAATACCTGTTACTACCACACCCCCACCCCAGTTGAGTTCTGCCCTTAACGCCTAGGCTAAGGTCCCCAACTCCAGGCCCCGCCCCTCACCCAGCTTGTCCAGCGCAAACTGCACCACGCGCTCGGGAACCTCAGGGGAGGCCATATCCGCAGCGATGTAGAAGACCTTGGGGGCGCCCAGCTTCCGGCAGTTCCCTACCACCTGGGGGGGGCCAGAGCTGCCCGTGGGCCCCTCCGCCCACGCTAGCCCCCTCCACCTGCCAGGTGCATTGGGGCCCCAGCCTGAAGCCTCCTCCCCTACTGAGCTTCCTGTTTCCTTTCCCAAGTTTTACCACAAACTGGCTGCCAGTTGGCCAGAATAGGGGACGTTTTGTTTGCTCAATCACCAACACTTAAAACTCAGGAGATTTCAAATAAATCTCGAGGTTTCTGGCTCCTCTTGAAATTCTGGAAGGTGTGTTTCCGAGAGCCGCACATTTCCTTGGAACATTCTGTCGCTAAGAAACGTCCACCCACCCCGCTTTTGAGTTTGAGAACCCCGGCTATTGTCGCATGGTTCAGACACTACCGATATTCCTATTTATTGAGGAACACTCCCTGCTTTACACTCACTGTCTTACTGCATCCATCTAACACCTTAACCCATGAAAAGGTACTTTTACTTTCTCCATTTTGCAAATGAAGAAACTAAGGCTCAGAGAGGTTAAGCAACTTGCCTGAGGTTACACAGGAAGCCTGGATCTTTGCAGAGATTCAAACCCACTCCACTCCCACCCCCACCATAACAGCCAGAATGGGATCTCACCTTCTGCAGGAGGGCCTCGGCGTGGGCAGTGAGCACCAGGTGGGAGCCCAGGCGGGCATAGTGATATGCCAGCTCCTCCCCGACACCTGCACTGGCCCCTGTCAACAGCACTCGGGCTCCCTGGAGGCTAGCTGGCAGTGGGCAGGGGTCGTCAGCTTGCAGGGTGCACCGGACAGCCGGCCCGATTGCTCCCTCTCCCACCCCGGACACTTACCTGGGTCGAAGTTGTCAGCCCAATAATAAGCGAAGAACAGGGCTCCTAGCCCAGTGAGAAGCAGCACCTTCATGGCTCTCCCAAGTCAGCAGCAGGAGAGAGGGTGGCGGGCATAGGCCTGGCCCACAGCCACACCATTTCCCTAACTGCACCTTTGTTCGGAGAAGCTCTTTCCGGTCCTGGGCCTGTCCCATTTCTCCATCTCCACCACCTGGTCCAGGTCACCATATAGCTCACCTGAACAACTGCAGTACCCTCCTCCCCTCTTCCGGTTTTCTCCCTCCAGGCAGCAGCAGACTCACATCTTGCCTCCCCTCGCTGGGACTCCTCTCTCTTTCACTGAAGACAAAAGCCAGACTCCTAGAAGGTCAAAAAGGCCCTACATGGATCAGTGCCTCTTGCTCACTCTTTTTGCCACACCAGCTTCTTTGCTGTTCCTCAGAACCAGCCAGTCTCCGTCTGCCTCAGGGCCTTTGCACTGGCTGTTGCCTCTGCCCAGAATGCTCTTCAAAAATAGAATCCCATGGCTTGCTCTCACTTCTTTCAAGACTCAGTGCAAAACTTACTCCCTCCTCGGGCATTTCCCTGGCCTCCTTTTCTAAATTACCTCCCTTCCTCGTCCCTTCTTGCTCTCTTACTTCTAGAACTTTAATCTCCTTCTCGGCACTTTTCATCATCTGAAATCACTTGATTTGTTGTTACATGTTCACTGTCCCTTTCTCCCCCTGAGTCCGTCAGGCCCACGAGGCCAGGAAGGAAACAGAAACCTACTTCTGTTTTGTTCACCGTTGGGTCTTCAGCGCCCCAAACTCTGCCAGGTACACAGCTGGTACTCGATACATACCAGATCAACACAGAGTGATATGAGGAATGTGGGAGGGAAGAGCTGGGGAGCCCACAAAGACCACTCTGTCCAGAGACATCCAGAAGGAATCAGACACTACGGAGTTCTGGCTGCCTCCTCCCGGGCTCCCCCTTCACACTCCCTTCCTCCCACCTTATCCTCCCAAGCAGCCAAAGGGATTTCTCTGTCAAAAGAAACCTGGCGGGCCCCTTCCTGATGCAAACACTCCTGAGGGCTCGCCACTGCCCAGGATGGAGACCAAGCTCTTCACAGCCCAGAGGGCCCAGCGTCTAGCCTCTGCCCACCTGTCCATCCTCATCTCCCACGACTCCTGTCTATCTCAGACTCCTGTCTGAGAATCATTTCTCAGAAAGTGAACTCCTCGCCCTTCTCCAGTCATGCCAGCCATTCCTGCAGCAGGGAACGTGCTCCCACCTCCTTCATTTTCAAGGAAAGCCTGTGAAGCCCCTCAACCTTGAGCACAGCAGCCCCACAGGGGAGGCAGGGTTGGATGGATGGGTGAGTAGGAGGGAGGAAGGGAGAAAGAGAGGGAGGGATGGTGGATAGACAAATGGATGGATGAAGCAGCCGGGCTGCGACGCGGAAGGAATGGGAGAACCAGATCCTCGCAGAACTCACCGGTCCCCTTACCTCGCCGGGCCTCAGCTTCCCGGCGGGACAAAGGGGGCGGGCGACCGCTTTGCGTTCCTAAGTGCGCACTCGCCCGCACGGCCTCAGTTTCTCCTGCCGTCCACCGGGGCTGGAGTCCGAAATGGGAGCCGCGCGCATGCCCGTCGGGTTTCCCTTAGCGGCCGCAGCCAGCTGCGCCCCCGACCATCCCCTTCCCGTAGGGCCCAAGTCACGTGACTTCGAGTCCCAGGCGGCGAGAACGCCGCGCTCGGGCGTTGCCGGGCAACGGCCTGCCACCTAGCTCTCCGGCTCCCAGCCGAAACCCTGGCTCCGCCCCCTGGGTGGAAACTCCACCCTCCTAACCCCCATCACGTGCCTGAAGCCGGCCTCTCTCGTACAAGTCCGGTCCTGCGTTGCCATGACAACCAGCTTCTAGGCACTCTCTTCCCAGGCCCCGGCCCTAATTCCCCCGCGTGGGCGCAGGCTGATCTCCAGGGCTCCGAAATCTTCTTGAGCCACTCTCACGTCTCATTCCAGACACTCGACTTCTCTTTCCCCTCACGCCACCAAGGCCGGACTACAACTCCCAGGCGCCTTAGCGGTTAGATGCCTCACGGGGCGGTGCCGACTACATTTCCCAGACAGCTTTGCGGCGGCCCGGCCCAGAAAACTGCGCTTCCAAGCGTCCTTTCGCGCTGAGACAGCAATCTCCAGTGTCTCGCAGCTGTAAGGATACTCCGACTCCCGGAGGCCTTTGCGGCTGACCAGGAAAACTACGTTTCCCAGAAGCCTCTGCGGCTCCGCGACCGGAAGCGGCGGGCAAGACGAGTGTCCTTGCGCGCGGAGCCGAGCGACTATGAGGTCCAGAGTGTGGCCGCTGATGAGGTGCGTGGGCCGCCGACGGGCTCCGATCGCCCGAGAAAGTCCCCTCCTGCGGAAAGCCCCCGCTGTTTTGTTCCCAACCTGTTCTTCGTTTCCCAAAGTGTCAGGTGGCCTACATGGGGAAACCGAGGTCCAAGCGGGGAGGGGGATCCCGCAGGTCGCGTGAGCCCTTGCCTCTCGACTCTCGGTATCCGAGACCCCTCCGAGCCTCAGCTGCCTCCTCTGTAAAACAGGAGTGCCCTACGGCCATTTATTGAGAGGTTAATGCACGCCCCGAATGGCGTTGAACATACAGGAAGCGATCAGTGACACCTGGAAAACCCTCGCGGGTTGCTCGCAGAGAGTCCCTCTCTGGGCTGGAAGGCAGAAAGTCAGGGGACTTAAGTCTTCACTGCTCTCCTGCTTTCTGCGTGATCACGAGTGACCTTCCTGTGTGCGCCTCAGTTTACCAGTTAAATGAGGCAGAGTAAGCTCTGCTTTGCACGCGAAACGGAGTGCTGTGCATAGTAGGGTCAGGCACCCCTCTGGGCTGCCAGGGTGCCCTGTGCATCCCCTAGTAGCTACCTGGCTTCAAGTGTGTCATTCTTTGGACTGTGGGGCCCCCTAGGGGTTTCACTTTTCCCGTAGGCCTAGGCTCCCGAGGTGGCCAGTGGTGTCCCCTGGGTTGCTCCCCTTCTCTTCCTTGCCCGCAGGTTTCTCATCAAGGGCAGTGTGGCTGGGGGCGTGGTCTACCTGGTGTACGACCAGCAACTGCTGGGGCCCAGCGACAAGAGCCAGGCCGCCCTTCAGAAGGCTGAGGAGGTGGTCCCCCAAGCCATGTACCAGTTCAGCCAGTATGTGTGCGAGCAGACAGGCCTGAAGATACCACAGGTACTCTGCTGGGAGTCAGGCTGAGGCCTGGCGGGACGTCAACTCTTGTGGGGGGGCAGTCAACTCGGGTGGCCTTCTGTCCCTGGTCCCTCCAGCCTCGCTTGGTGTTCGCACTGGGGGGTGTGCTGCTGCCCCTGCCTCTGGAGGAGGCTGGGGTGCTGGCCTTTCCCTTTTCACCAGCCCCTTCTCCCCTGTCTCTTCCCAGCTCCCAGCCCCTCCAAAGTTTAACTTTCACATCCATGAGTCCTGGAATTCAGGTAGGCCCTGGTCTCTCTGCTTGGGGTGGGGGGTGGCATCAGGTACCCCAGTCTAGCACCCCCACCCTGCTTCCTGTTCATGCCTTTCCATCACCCCCCCTTACTGCTGTGTGTGCCTCCCCCGGATCTAAAAGAGGAGAGGAGATGGAGGTTCCAGGGGGAGTGGGAGCAAGGTTGAGCCTCTTTCTGAGAGCTGGGGCCACACTGGACCACAGTGGACGGACTCTGGTGGCCTCAGACAAGGTGAAGCCCTGCTCCTCCTTTGCCTCAGTTTCCTTGCCTGGAATTGACAGAGCTGGAAGCGGCACCTCTAAAAGCACTACCGAGTCAGGTGTCCCGGTGGTTGGACTGAACTCTTTCGCCCTGGGCGGGGAGCCTCACCAGGCGCTGGGCCCTCCCTCCCCGCAGGCGTCCAGGCGTTATTGCGGTGATGTCGGCCCTGTCGGCAGCCCCATCTAAGGCCTGCGAATACACCAAGGAGGGCTGGGAATACCTGAAGGAGCGAGTCAAGTAGCCTGTCAGAGGAGCCTGACCATCCTGGGCGGGAACAGGCAGGGCCACCCAGGACCTCGAGCCTCCAGACTGGGACCCCACTCCGACGGCAGCTCCCGGCCTTGCCGGCCCAATAAAGGACTTCGGAAGTGCTCCCTGACCCATGTGCTGGCCCCTGGGGCATGGGGTGGCCTGGCTGGTGCTCAGAGCTTGGGGGCTTGGGCTTCTGGCTCTGGGGACTCCTCAGGGCCTTATCTTGACCTCAGGCCACAGTTCACACCCTTGCGGGTATGGGGAGTGGGAGCAGACAACGCGCACCAGTGCTCAGGGCGCTGGGGAGGGTTGAGAAAGTGCCGAGGGCTGAGCCCAGGCTGGGGCCGTCTGTGAGCGCGGGCTCGGCGGTGGCACCGTTCACGTGTGCCATCTGCACGCCCAGCTGCGCCTGGTCTCCATGCTCCTTCCACCATCTCCCCACAAAGATGGGGAGCACAGGCCTGGAGCCCATTGCCATGTAAGCGGGTCTCCCCAACCCACAGGGCCCTTCCTTCCCGACCTCGTCGCCCAGGGGTGCTCTGCTCCCCTCAGAAGCTTTCCCTGACACCTGGACCCACACTGGGTCAACTGCCTAGTGACCTGAATGTGTGTGCCCCATGGGACTGGAGCTCCAGGAGGGTGGGCTGTGGAGATGCTCCCAGCCACCAAGGGCGTCCTACCGTGGTGGTGCCAGAGGAAACCTGTGCCTCAGACAGACAGGGTGGCAGGGGAGGGTGTGGACAGAGGCTGTCCCAGGTGGCTGCCCTGGGAGCAGGGAGTGGACCCATGTCTCAGTACCTAAAGGCCCACAGTGACCTCCATGACCATGGTCTCCAAGGCGGGCTTCCCAGCTGCCTGTACCCACTGTGTCCTTGCTGGCCTCAGTTGGCGTGAGAGCAGGTCTAGGGGGAGGGCAGGATGGGTGAGGCTGGGGAGCGTCACTGATCTGTGGTGCTGCCCGAGAGGGAGCCGGTGCCTGCCATCTTGGGGGCCAGGTGCATAGCCCAGGTTCAGGGGCTCACCTGTGATCCACCCAGCCTGACTTTCTATCCACCGAGCTCTTCCAGAAGTCCCATGGGCCCAGTGTACAGTTACGTGGCCAGATTCAAAGCCCACTGCCCACCAGGAGCCCAGATGGTTAGCCTCAAACCCTCCCCAGGACACAGGATTTCCACTTGCCTCCCGCCGTGGGCCGGGTCCCGGCCTTCGCATACAGGAGGGTTGGCACTCAGGCTGCCTGAGTTCTCACCACCCTGCCGTTATCATCATTTTATGAAGGGGTGAGACCTGCCAGGGCCACCCTGCCACAGAGCGAACAGTTGTTAACAGCCCAGTATACGGACCCAGCACAGCCCACAGAAAAGGAAACCAGCCTATGCAGGTCAGCGGGCGCTGCCCTAGGGACAGGCTTGGCCCTCTGGCCCCCTCACTTCCATCTGGGAGGCCGTGTGTGTGTATGTGTGTGTGTGTGGCCTCCTGGGTGTGTGTGTGTTGGGCTATAAGGAGGTCCCCAGGCCCAAGTGTCTACAGTCCCTGTGGTTCAGTCACTGCCAGTGGCTGGGCCTGGAATCAGCCACTAGCTTCCAATTCCCACCAAGCACAAGGACCCTGCCACCGGCCGAGACCAAGGTGCCATTCTTGACCCCTCCCTCCCGCCATCCAGTCAGACTCCCACTTCCTCTCTATCTACGTGTGTCGTCGCCAGTGCCAAGACCACCTCCCTTGGCTCCCTGCCTGCAGGCCAGTCCCTGCCAATCTGTTTCCTGAAGTCCACGTCTGATCATGTCACCACCCTGCTCAGAAACCTCAGGTGGCTCCCCACTGCCCTCCCGATGAGCCCAGATCCCTCAAAGGGACTTTCCTCTTCCTCCCTCCCTTTCTGGGTGGCCCTGTTCCTAAAACACAGTGTTCACTGCCAACATAGCCCACAAACTCATGGGCCCCGCCACCGGGCTGCCCTTCTTCCTGACTGACTGCTCACCCTGCCCACAGCACAGATGCCACCTCTCCTGACCTTGTCTTCCTATCTGCAGGCTGAGTCGAGTGCCCTCCCCCCCAAGTCTCAGTGTCCATCCCGGTGCCCACCACCTCAGGGCAGGCAGGGTTTCCCCACCTCATAATCACTGACATTTGGGAGGGCAATCCTGGGCATCGTAGGTGTCAAGTAGCATCCCTACGTCCACCCCCAGATGCCAGTAGCACCCTTTTACCCCCAGTCACGAAACCACAAATGTCTCCAGGTGCTGCCAGATGTCCTCTGGGGACAGGATCGCCCCAGTTGAGAACACTGCTTTTGGGGAGTTGGTATGAGTCCCCTGTGGCTGCTGCAACAAATGCCCACAGCTTTAGTGGCTTAAAACAGCACAAATTGATTCTCTCACAGTTCTGGAGGTCAGGAGTCTGGCCTGGGCGTCCCTGGGCTGCAATCCAGGTGGCAGCGGGCGTGGCGCCGAATCCGATCCCTGGCCTTTTCCAGTTTCCAGAGGCTGCTGCATCCCTTGGCCGGGGGCCCTTCCTCTGCCTGCGCAGCCAGCACTGTCTTCCTCTCATGTCTCCGGCTCTCCTGCCTCCGTTTCCTTTTAAGGACCCGTGTGATACTATGGGACCCACCTGGATAACCCAGGATCCTCTCCCATCTCAAGGTCGACCGTCCTTGAGAACAAGTGCAGGAATGGGACTGTGCTAAGATGGCCAAGAGGGACAGGGAATTCAGCAGAACCAGAGGTGCAGAGACGTGAGCTCTCAGGATCCCTAGAGACACTGGCTGGGGCATGCTGGGCTCAGGGTTTCTGTGTCACCTCAAGAGTGAACTCCAGCCACGCTCTGCTCCCCAAGCCATGTGCTGGGTGATGGCTGGGTCTCCCTTTGTGCTGTCCACCTTAGGGCCACATCTAGGCAGACAACAGCCCTGTTTCCCCACTGGCCCTAGATACAGCTTTGTGGTGCAGTGGGGGTCCCGGTGGACTAGAGCCTGGGAGCTGCCCTATGGCCTTTGGAGAATGAGGATCTTTATAGCTAGGGGGATGGAGGGGGACACAGTGCCTTGATGGCATCCCACAGGTCAATCCAGTAGCTGCATTTTACAGGCAAACAAGTGGAGGCATCAAACTGAAGGAAACATGAACGATGCAGGCACAGAACCTGGCGCCCGGACTCAAGCTGTGTCTTCACTGGGGTCCTTGATCCACTGTCACAGATCACGTAGTTGGACTCTGGCAAAAGACACAGTCCTGTGGGCTGCAGGGAAGGGGGATGTCTCCTCAAGGCCAAGCAGGGAGAGAATGGCCAGGTTGCAAACCCAGCATTACCCCAGGATTTCAGATGGCACTTGGGCCCTAAACATACCTGCCTCACTGTCCAGTGATGAGACCCCCGCCTTCCCGTGTCCAGGCAACTCCCCGCCACGCCGGGCCCCTCGCCCCTCCCTTGGCAGAGCTCTTCGCTTCCTGGCTTCGATGGTGTTCGATGGCTTTTCTCCTACCCTCAGCGCCGCAATTTGCTGTTCTCTGCTCTCACCCCACCTGGTGCAGTTCCACTGACATACGGCCCCCAGAGGAGTCAAATCCAGAGACAAAGTGGATGGTGGGAGCCAGGGCCTGGGGACGGGGGTTAGTGTTTAATGAGGTTCCCGGTTTAGGAAGAGGACTTCTGGAGATGGTGATGATGGTTGTACGATGTGCACTTAATGCCTCCGAACTGTGTAATAACGATGGCTGAAGCAGTCCATTCCGTGTAGCGTGGATTTTACTGTACACAGAAATTAACAGCCTGTTCAACAAAGGCTGAGATCGCCAGATACAGAGGGAGGCAGCGTGTGGGCGACAAACATCTGAAGGACGTCACAGGGCAGAGGAGGAGGAAGGACAAGATGGCTGCGACTCATGACCCAGACGATCCTGAATTCCGGCCTGGGCCTGGGCCCACAGTCAGCAGTGCTGACAACCCAACTGTCCCCTGAAACTGTCCCTTTCAGCCCTCCTTCTCTGAAGGAAAAGCTGCGGCTCAACAAGGCGAGTGAGTTCGTTTTACTTAGAAAGGCGGAAATAAACAGGTGACGCTTTAAATAAAGGGTATGTGAACAGAAACACATTTATTACAAAAAAACAAAAAAAAAAAAACAAAAACATTCACATTGTATAGAGCTACAATATGGCAGCAGATAAAAAAAAATTTATTGTACACAGTTTAAGATAACTCCTAACAGAACGTACTCTGGTTGCCACGTGATGTAACAGGGTCCAAGCACTTAGTAGCGGCGAGTGAAGCGGGCGTCGTTGGGTCGGCTCCCCCGGTTCTGGCCTCCGAATCCACCTTGCATGCCCCCGCGTGGGATCACGTGGCCCCGAGAGGCCCCTCCTGGGGCAAAGCTGCCACGCCTGGAACTGATGTGGGGGCTCGTGATGCTTGTGTCCCCGGGGCCCGCCCCATCCCGACGGCCCGCTCAGTGGGGTCTGCTGCATTCCCAAGGGACGCGTGCTCTTCAGGACTCCTCCCTCTCGTGCAGCAGGACCAGGGGACAGACCCACACCATTTTAGGAGTGAGGACGGGCCAAGCATGTTAGGGGAGGGGTGTAAGTTGGAAGGATTTGATTGTTTCTAAACCTACACCCAAGGCAACCCAACATGCACGGAAGGGGCCGGTACAGGCAGGACGCCAGATGCCTTACCCCGACATCCCTCCCCGGCTCATCATGTGACCTGGCCCAGAGTGACCAGACATGCTTCTTTCACCACCTAGAAAACAAGAGACTTTTCACACAGCGCCTCTGAGCCGAAGACACAGCTCTGGAGCACATGGCCCGGGGTCAGGCGAGTCCTGTCCCTTTCTTGAGCCACCCAGTCAACCTAGAGCTCGCAGGTCCCCATTGGTGGGTGTGTAACATGAGAGCTGCACACTCACAGACGCCATGAGGCGTGGGGGGGGGGCACACACCACCCAGCACTCTTCCTGCGCCAGACCTCACCCCCATCCAGTGGTTAAGGGGCGCCCCTCCGCCGCCGGCCCCGAGCAAGGCCCCAAGGAGAGTAGGGAGACGAATGAACACTGATTGGAAAGAGCAGGTGCAGCTGGAGCTTTCCGGATGCTTCTCTACAAACATGTTCCTGAGAGCCAGGCCTTA